CCCATCATTGCCTGCCCACCCAAAGTCGGGGCCCACCCAAATGTCCCATGTTAGCTACGCCACGGCTGTCCCAGTGCTTAACCACCCTTATAGTTAGAAAGTTTTTCCTAATATCTCACCTAAATCTCCCTTGCAGCAATCTAAGCCAATTACTTCTTGTCCTTGGTGGACATGGAAAACAATTGATCACCATTCTCTTTCTAGCACATACTATTCCTGGGCGAATTCTGCACCAAAACTTTAAAAATTCTACATACAATATATTAAAATTCAACATATTTTATGTGTCAAAATAACGCAATATAATCACACCGGTTTCAATTATTTTGGAAATTTATTTAAACTACAATACAATGGATGGAGAATAGAAGTAGGGATCATTGGAGGAAATCCCCAAATCCTCTTTGTCTAATAGTAATGTAGCTAGGCTTGACCCTTTATTTCTAGTTATTAGTCAAGATATAACAATGTTATATGCAGCCATATGTTCATATTACATGATAGGGAACTGAAGAGCAAGTGAGGGCTGGGGAATCAAACTTATAGTTTATATTGGCTACTGTCCCTCTCCAGAAAGGTCAGAAGTAAACAGTTAATGATGTACATTTTGATAGGAAAATGTTTCAGTCCAAAAATTTAGACCAGTTCTAATCAGTCAAGCATCATAAGCATTTATAAGGCCATACTGTCATTTACAATAGGGCTTCTTTACACCACTCTGGCAAAGTAAAGAAGCCTTAAAACTTTTACACCTGTTTGATGCTCCTGGGGGAATTCATTAAGAATGGGAACAATTCACTAAGAATGGGAACAACTAAGCAGGCAGGCTGCTACATTATGCTCTGCCTCAGGGGACAGAGCCTGCCTCATGTCTTCCTCCAAACACCCCAGAGCCCTGTCCCTCCACGCCAGGCCTGTCACAATGGCAAGCCAGAGGGACAGAGTCTCTCTCATTCATTCACTTGCTCGCTCACCTGCCCGCCCAGCCCTCCCTGCCCCCCACCATGCTGATTTACGTCTCCTCCAGGTGCTCCAGGCCGCCAGGGACGGGGGAGTGACTGCACTTCCCTTTGCTTCCCCTCAGAAGTCATTTTTCTGTGGGGAACCAAAGAAATCTGCAGACGACATGGTGCAGAATTCTCCCAAGAGTAACATATTTGAAGATTGTTATCTTGTTCCCCCTCAGCCTTCTCTAGATTAA